CGAAGCTGACCAGTTTACGTTGGGATATTGGGTGAGAGGAGGATCTAGTTTGCTTCTAAAATGTGGAATTCATTTTTGTACCGGTTTTCAGTTCATCTTAAAGGTAAAAAAACAGTGTTTTCTTGAGGTGTGTTCAAGAAATGGTCACTTGAGAATGATAATTATTAATATTGACAGCCGTTACGCTTGTTGTAGCAAATTATGTAATAAATGAAACCTGGAATTTATCTCTGAAAAAACATTTGTACTTTTAGCTGAAATATACCTATTTCCCGTTCTGTCGGTCCTTTTTCACATATTCACCTGACCAGCCATTGAATGAAGTATCACCTAATTTTTTTAAAAAAAACCCTGTGTCATCTTTCGTTCTCTTGTTCTTCAAAAGATTGGAAATTCAAGGAGTCATTGTGAAAGATAACTATATTGACACCAGCAATGCTCGTGTTTGATATTGCACGTTATCAGCCGCGCGGCAATCACTATCTGCAGCGGGAGGAGTGGCGGTGGCTAAGGATGTGACTGGTAAGAGAAATGTTTGCCTTCCTGACACACTGAAGCAATGGCCGTATTATTCCACTCTCCACACTGGGGCCTTCCCAACCGCCGGCTCCTGCTGCTGCCATACGAGGATTTTCAGCAGAGAGGGAGCGGAAGGTGGAAGTTTGGAAATAGCTTCAGGCTGCATAAATTCACCCACTTGGCCACATGCGTCAGATATTTTAATAATAATAATAATATTCCTTGCATTTGTTATAGCGCTTTTCACGTCGGGAGGACGTCCCAAAGCGCTTCACAGAACGCACTGTAAAGTGAATTGACTGTATATTTGTGGGCGAACGCGGCAGCCAATTGCGCACAGCAATATCCCACAAACAGTCGTAGATTGAAAATGACCAATTTATTAGTATTTTTGGTTTTGGAGGGATTATTATTGGGTGTGTGGAGTAAGGAAACTTGCCCAAGATTTCGCTCTATGCCTGGAATTGAACTCAGGTCTCTCGCTTCCAAAGTGAGTGCTCTAACCACTGAGCTACAGGACTCCACGCTTTTGTACAACGCTTTTGTAAAATGACGAGACTGTGTGTTACGTCGGTGAATGTGTTAGTCAATTTGCAGTGAAGTCAGGGTCCAATTTGGTTTTGGGGAATTCTCTGCCACGACACCAGGGGAATCCCATTTCTATTGATCTGCCCTGTCATTTTCCAGAATATGGCACAACAAAATTGTGTATCCAGACTGTCACACAAACAG